GTCGTAACGTTTCTATTTTATCGCATTAATTCTCGACATTGCACGTTCGTGTTTCATAATACTGACGGTAACCATCTATCCGGTTGTTATCAGCCATCCAATTTTATCGTGAACATTTTATGTTGAGTTTACAACGCTGTTAAGGCAACCGTATCGTGTTCGCGGACATTTATCGTAGTGTCATCAATAAGTGAATCAGTATGACGGGTCTTGTCTTTTTTTTTTTTAAGTAAATCTAAATGAGAATCCAATTATTCATAATTCATTATCGTAATTAAAATGATTTTTTTGTTTGACGTTTTTCGAATGAACTGGAAAAGAAATAATGTAAATGTTAACCACTTCTCTTTGAATTCACTTTACGTCTTTTCGTTTTGATGAAATTGACAATTATTGTTAAAGCAATTGTCATGTATTATCTTTCTAGTTAATCGTGATGGTAGTATTCTAAGCATTCCTTTCCTTGTACTCTGGAATGTATTCAAACTTTCTTAAACGAGAGAGAATATCAAATACTCAGGGAGAATTGTGTAGGAATTAGATAATAGCTGTTGGAGAGTTTGGTGACAAACGAAGATGTGGAAGCAACTATGAGTCAAGTACGAATACGTGAAATCCATGGCTGCAGATGACGACAGTATATTTGGAGACATCAGATTACTTGACTGAGTCAATGTGTTTGTTTGTTTGTTTGTTTGTATGTATGTATGTGAGAGAAAATTTGGATACATAACTTCGAGGATAAAATAAACGTCGATTTTAGAATAATCTGTAAGAGAATGCCTAAAGCTATACGAAACTTCATACTTAATAAATAATGAAGTCGTTCAAAAGCCAAAACGATTAACTCCATTTTTCGTAATATTTCTAAACTTTTAATACTAAAACACTTTACAGATATCTAACTTTTTGAAGTGAAATTTCTTAAATGAGAATACAAGTACTATACGGATAGAGAGAGAGAGAGAGAGAAAGAGAGAGAAAAAAAAAAGAATGAGATAAAACTCACAATCGATTGACAGTGATTTTTGATATTTATTTTATTACCCTTACTATTTAAGAGAAAATAATCAAATAAATAAAGCTGTATGATATTAATTATCATGATGGTTATTCGTGAACAAGCATAATGCCGAAAGGATCAAAAGGGTTTAACAACCATATGACGTCTCGATTGTAATGGCAATAAACCGAATCGATATTGCTACGTTAATTACCGTTATCAGCGTATTTGCAGTTTCAATATGCGTTCGAGAGTGTGGTTATTGTTGAGTGCATAGACAGAGAGAGAGAAAGAGTGAGAAGTAGAAAGGAAAAGAGATAGTAACCCGTATTACTGCCCTCGCAACAACTGTTTTTTTCTTCTTTCTTTTTCTTTTTTTTAATTTCCCTATATAGGGGTATTCAATTGGGTAATTTTTTTTTATCGACAACGCGTATTCGCGAATATCGCTATGGTACATGATGGTTTTTAATTTATTACGCGCGAATGCGTATGGCTAAAAATAAATGTATCATCTCGGTTGTGTTTTTTTCCCGATGGCTATATGTCGCCTGGCAGCGGCTTTCTCAATCGATGACAAAGAATAACCGATGCAATCCAATTGTCGATGCATTCTGTATAGTATATATATATATATATATGACATATCCATGTCGTTCATCATAGATAGCAGAATAGATTTTATTTTCAATAATGAATGACGAGTACGTGACATCAATGTGCATATATGAATGATAACAAACATATGCGATATATCGATACAAAAACAATAGCAAGAAGTATCTATATCGAGTCGACATAAACTTCCTAATTTTCTCTATAACATTATCTAATTTTTATATTACACGTTTAAGTATATAGAATTATGTGTATATTTTTGATATCTTATAGAATTATTTTATTACAAAATTAATAATTTTGCTATTTTGATATGCATAGGTTAATATTTGTTTTATATAAATAAGATATATTTTTTAATATATGTCATATTTAATCATATTTAAAGTTTTCAAAATTATCCAATTTATATTTTTTTAGAGACACGACGAATATAATTAAGTTATAAAGAATTTAAATAACATCGTTAGATAATTTCATCAATTCATCGATAATTTACTGGCGGATAAATCGATAATCTCATACGTTATGTTTGTTGTTTGCGCCTCAGTCAGAGAAGTTTGCAGTTTAGTTGAGAAGAAGAGCTTGGTTTCGTTCGAGTTATACTATCGTTTAGATAGAAATCACTTTCCCGACCTATGATTTCTTTTATATCGAATTATCGATCTTATGTGGATCTCTACGGAAGGATAATGATGATCCCAGGACTTTAAAGTGTATTGATGTTGATTAATATTAAAAAAAAAAGAAAGGGAGGGAGAGAGAGAGAGAGAGATGAAAATAAAAATAAAGAAAGAGATAGGGGGATCACGTTCTGGTCTCTATCTTCCTAAAGATATATCTCCTGTACGTTTTGCGAGGAGAAATGCGAGCGCAACGGCACGATTAATCAACGACGAGCATGAAAACATGAAAGAGAGAGAGAGAGAGAGAGAGAGAGAGAGAGAGAGAGAGAAAACGAATGCGGGTTGAGAGAACATCGTTCGCAATATCAGTTTTAATCAAAACACATAGGAAATTTTTGGTAGGATTGTTCTAGATCTAATGCATTCATTGACGCTGCATTTAAAACAGCATTCTATATAGGGGGTAATTAAATTTGTATACTTATTTCTATTGTTCTCAAATACTTTTTCTCTTCTATCTGTCGTTGAATTTTTTTGATTTTTTTATTTCTTTATTTCAACGTCTACCTTTCGTTTCGAATTTTTCACGTTTAGTTGCATTGAAAGCTACTTTGTCACCTGAATGTACGGATCTAATGTAGATCGAAGTTAATAGAAGAACGTTTCAACTGAGTGATTTTCTTTCATCTTCTTCTTCTTCTCCTATTTCTTCTATTTCTTTGGTTGTGCTTTTACGCATTAGCCGAGTACCCTGTATATCCGGAATTATACACATTCTTTCTCATTTTATCTTTCCTTTCTTCTATTTTCTTTTCTCTTTTTTTCTCTCTTTTTCACTGTATTCTTCTACTCGTAACTGTGCTACGTCGCATTCCAAAGACATTCTTTATGTTGACCGGTGTGGCGAAGACACGCGAAAAGATTGAGCGAGGGTTGATGTTGAACCGTAGGTTGGACCAATGGTAGAAAAGTTACCGCGTTCTATGACTCGAAGCGGTTGCACCACTAGTCGTTGCTTAATGTCCCTCGTCCAATGGGAATCGTTATTTTCTACTTACAAATGCATTCCATGTACCAGGTATTAAGTATCGCTTTGACACACTCCCCCATGGAATTTTCTTTATGCAATACGTACATTGATAAGCATATTATTTATCTTATTTTGTTTTGTTATCTCTTTGATTAACAATTGTTGTATATTTGTTAGATATTTGATTAATCGTATTATTTTTATTTATATATACGTACTCGTTACAAAATATTCTGTAATAATTTTTTTTTTTTTTTTTTCCCACCGATCAGAGATCAAGCAACGTCACAAACGCGAGGATTCATTCGATCGGTCAAATACATCCGATAGAAACCGAATGATTTCACGTACAAGTGGTGCTTTCAACTTCCGGAAGGTTGCGGTATGCGAGCCTCGATAGCGACGAACTCGCCGATGTTGCAGTTGACTTCAGCGAGCTCTGTTTGTCGAGAACAAACTGCCACGAGTCCGCGCGATGACCAATCAAGCTAAACTTTTTAATTACGATCGTCCTTGTTTCCTGAACCAACAAAAAACGGATCAGCTTCGATGCATACAAAACATTTTATCCCCTTGATCTGTTCCTCGTTTAATCCCAACATATATACATATGTATGTATACATGCAATCGTATCTATCGTGCCTGTTAAAACCATCAAAAGTATTGTAAATTCTATTATATATATATTATTTCTACGTAAGTGTGATAAATAAAAGCCGTGATTTAAAGACTATTGTCAACGCTGCATTTTCAAGAATTTATAACTTTATTGTAAAAAAGACAAAGGCCAACGGGTTAACCGTATAGTAAAAATCCAGTTAGAGCTTTTATATACAAAGAGAGAATGTTTTATCAAATTTTTTGAATAAACTTTATTATTTTTGACAACACACAATACACACACACACACAAAAGAACGTTTTAGGCCAAAATGGCATGATTCGAAAAGAGAAATTCAATAATACACAAATATTTCATTCATGAAATATTTTATTTTTATATTTTTTCAATAAGATCATAATATATTTGTCTATAATAATAACATTTATTGCCAATATCGCGACGAATTAAAGTAAATTCTTGAAAATATTTTTTAACGTATTTTTACTATCTACGCGATAAAAGTTGATAAAAAAAATCAATCAATATCACATATCCCCTAATTAAATGTAATATTTTTGTATATTCTAGAAAAGAAAAAAAAAAAGAAAAAAAACAGAATACTAAATCTAAATCTATCTTTTCGGATTAGACTGTCATTAACGTTAATATTACCTTGTCACCATGAAATCATACAAAAATCCATCAACAAATTGAATATAGCTTCATATTTTATATACTATAATATACTCTTTTATATTTATACGATATTTTATATATTCTACATTTATATTATTATTATTATAATTATTCTATATATATTTGATTTATTATTTCTTTACTTTTTTTTTTTTCGATTTGCAAGTATGTGACGCGTTTAATGGTAGTAGGAATAAGAGTGGCGATCGAGATGTGGTTGAAAAAGAGGAGATAAGTAGTAAACAGCAGTTTTGGTCGGACAGGAATAGCGCGACGGCGCGACGCTTCGGCGCAACTGGACGAATGAGAGATAGAAAGGGAGAGAAAGAGATAGAGAGAAAGAGAGGGAGAGAGAGTGTATCATGTAGGTATGCATTTGTGTGAGTAAGCGAGAAAGAGAGAGGAGAGTAGGGCGGTGGGTTGAATCGAGGTTGGTATCGGGCAGCATAGTGAGTCGCGCGATCCGTTCATTCGGGTTCGCACGGCTCGCATCGTCACAGATCGGGTACGTGCTGCTGTTGCTGTTGCTGTTGTTGCTGTTGTTACTGTTGTTACTGCACTACATCTGCATCCTGCTCTACAAAGGGCTTCTTTGTTGAAGCATTTCATATCGTTTTCTGCTCGTCTTATTATTACCTGTTACCTTTTTTTTTTTTTATTTTATTTTATTTCTTCTTCTTCTTTCCTTCCTCTTACTTGTGTACTATTATCAGCTAACGAGAGAGAGAGAGAGAAAGATATATATATCTCGAAAAGGATGACAATCAGCATGCCGTTGAAATTTCTTTTCTTATCGCACACTTGGAGAAGTGTAACTCAATTTTAAATAAAGTGGACTGTAACGAAAGTACGATTTAATTTGATCGACTCTTGTGTCCCTTTGTAATCGTTTTACAAAAGGTGGTATTACACGTTTAACATTTGAAGATGCAATTTGAAACTTGAAAAGTGGATAACTACGTTTGGAAAAAATAATATGAAAAATAATCGATTGATTGGTGGTGTTTGTTTCGTGTGGTTATACGAATGATACAAATTTATTTCGAATATCTATAGACGAGTGTTATCCAGCATATATTAAGTGATTAACAAAATACTTTAGTTTTCATTAATTAATCAATTTTCTATTTGATTTTTATCCTAATAAGAATCATTGAGTGTGTTTCGTTCTTGGATCTATTTGATGAGGTCTAGTTAGTTAGTTTATTTTCCCGCTCAGAGACGGGATCTGTGCGTTGAAGAGGCAAACGGAGAAGCAAGAAGCAACGATATACATTTTGTGCTTTGTGCGTGTGTGTGTGTGTGCGCGTACACGCGCGAGTGTTTGTACATCGGTTTACTCAGTGTCTTATCAGTGTACTTCCTTCCTTTCCTCTCCTCTTTCTCTTTTTCTTTTTCGATGATGTTGCTAAACAATCTTAATAATGTAACTTCGATATTCGTAAATCGTTTGTACAATCATTTTTCGAATATCGTGCCATTGTGTTCGTATATTCGTGGAATATGAATTATTATTAAAAATTCTTCACAGGAGAAACTTTTATCCGATTAACAATAATTATATCTCCGGTTAGAAGAGTTTTTAACGAAGTTTAAGTTTTTAACTATAAAGTATAGATGCATGTACTAAAATGATCGGTATGCGTTGATTTTCGTTTATTGATAATAACGTTGATAACGAGTTGACAAGATCGCATGATAACGCATCAAACTCACGGGATGATTCGCGGTTTTGTTATTATACCAAATATAGGAAATCGTTATATTATATTTATGTAACGTCGTTCGCGGTTCTATCGGTGTATTCTGTATTTCGTGTGTGTGCGTGATCCGTGTAACGGGGACACGTGGCCAGTATGACTCTCAAAGGTCACATTATCGTTAGCGATATTTAGACCGTTGGATCTAATGGGCCGACGTTTAACAGGCTATAGTCAGCTAACGTGCGTCCATTTAATATACACACCCTGTACGTATGCGTTTGTTTCACAACACGGTGTCAGATTACTATAGCATTCATCCCTTTCACCCTCATCGTTGCAAAGTTCGTCGTTGATCATTCTTGCACACGGTACCACCTTCCTCCATTCGTTGCTCATTCGTTTCTGTCTCCATCGGTCTTCCGTGGAAGTGCCGTGAAATACGAAGAAGCATGAACTCGAGCAGAATGTTCTCTTTTCCGAGGCTAATTAATTTGCATTTCACCATTGATGATTACAACGAGTTAGTGGATTTAAGAGAACGATTGCCCGGCGAATATTCTGGATTAAAATTAAAGGGCTTTCTTACTGAGACAGTGTACGTATGTGTGTAGTGCCAGATGCTAGTTAAGTGATATTTGTGCGAGAGATAGAAAGGAATATATATATACTCAATATACATAGAACAACGTGTATATTGTATCAGTGTGTCGGGAACAGTTGAATTGTTCTCGTAATTTCCGTCTCCCTGGTCAACCTTAATCTGGTTGCATCGTTATTTGCTAAAGGGGGAATGAAGGACAGTACGTAGGGACTGGTCCTTCTCGTTTTGGAGATGTGCCGCTATCTACAGCACACTACCACCCTCGCCCTCCCCCTCGTACTTTTGGCGATTCATGCGATCACCGTTGTACGAGCTGGCGAACAAGGTAACCATTATTGATGTGATTGATGCGAACGAAAATAAGATTAATGTCTTCCTTTTCACTTTCTTATTGTTCACTATAATTTTCTGGTTTCGTAAATACTTTTGTTTCATGCCTTTATCGTAGCACTACTTGATGTTTCCTAAAATACATATTCTTGATCCCTTATTCTTTGATCTCAGTTTTTTTTTATTATCCCAGTAGATTCCTATCCCTTATTTTTTTTTTTTTGAAATATAATATTCTCGTTTACATAAGAAGCCTTTACTTATTCGACAAATTTTGTCATCGTGTGTCCTTAGTAAAGAAAGTGCATTCTTTTATGTACATACATAAATATATATACATACATTAAGAATGGGTACTCACATAACGAATCTTCATTTGGTCGAACTCTTGGAATATGTGAGTTCACGTGAGTTAACGCGAGTAGAAGAACCAACGGTACTGGTGCCTTTCTCATCAATTCCCATGCATTAGCCTTTACCGTTCTTTTCGTCCAAGCTTTTACGAGTTTTCGTGAAAGCTGGCAGACTTTTCTAAAAGCCTTTGCTTCTTCTTTCAAGCCACGTATTTTCTTTTTTAGTTAGGATTATCTCTGTTTCGTTCGACGTTCAACTCATAGTGAAACGTTTCGATATTGATCAGACAATTTGGAATGTTTGATATTGAATGTCATTATAAAATGATATGAAGGTATTTTATTGACAGACAAATGTTCTAGGAATTCATATTCTCTCATGTTGCTTTCCTATTTACTGCATTATAATTGGCATGTTCATTGTCACCTGGGGGTAATCGGAATTACCGACGGTTTTATCCTTTGTTATGAAGTAATTGATTTATTTGATTTATTATTTCCTACTTGATGTATGTATAAAAGAGTGAGAGAGAGAGAGAGAGAGAGAGAGAGATAAAAAAAGTGGCAGAGAAAAAATAAATGGCAAAATATATTACGTTTGTATATTTTATTTTTGAGTTCATTTTAAACATACAATACTTTATTTTATAAACGTGAAATAAAAATGGTAAATAACCATATATCTAAAAGAATAAATAAAACTCATATTTCTATGGCATTTTAATGGTATGACTTTTGTAGGTTTTCTTTTATAAAAAAAAATAATCATGCTCATTTTCTTATCTTTTTTATTATTCGAAGGAGGAATAAAATGAAGCTTATGGAGTGTAGAAACGTTTGATATTGGAAAATGAGATTAAAGTGAAGTAGATTGTGTTTTACGAGAAGAAAGAGGTGAAAGAGAGAGAGAGAGAGAGAGAGAGAGAGAGAGAGAGAGATAGTAGAGTTTTGTTTTATATTTGTATATTTTTACAAAAATGTTCTCTATTTTCTTTTTAATTGTGTAAAAAAAAAAAAGAAAAAGAAAACGAACAATTCTTGCGAAGAAAATAAAACGAAAGATAAAAATTAATTCTCGTGAAAGAAAACTGAGGAAAACACACAAAAATCTTTGATATTCTTTTTTATTCTCAACGATAAAGAACTAACGAAGGCTCATCATGAAGTTTTAAGAAATTTATGGAATATAGCGTATTTTTTTACGGTAGAGTATTGTTAGTTTATGTAGTCTATATTATATACGATACCTTCTTTTTCTATAATTGAGTATACTTTTTTATTTCTTAATATTAATAATATAAGATAAATCCCTGAATGAAATAAACTTATGCCACAATACCTATGTTTCCATTCTTAAAGCTATCTATTCGAACATATTCTATGTTCTTTTCTTTTTCTATAATTTTTACTATTATATAACGTGATTTAAGTTCAGTATTCATTTTCATTTTCAAATTATCAATGATTTAATGGAAATTTTAGTATTAAACTTAACAATCTATTTATCAGATGAGAAATAATCCTCTTACATATTATTATTCAATTGTACTCGTTCGAGTAAGCTTTATATGCAAGCGTTTTCAGGTATTCTCATTAGATAAACAAGACGTTTACAGATTTTTTTATTGAGAAATGAAACAAATTGAAACAAAAGAAATATACGAATAAGAAGTCATTTATGTCAGGTACCAACATGGTACATTTAATTTAGATAATGTAATCGATAAAATTTTTGTTTTTATTAATTGAATATGTTTTTAATGAGTACTCTTTCATAGCTGTTTCAAATTCGATATACTTTTTATCGATTTTTATTATCCTTCTCATTTTTCTCATTTGTTCATTACATAAGAAACAATAGAATTTTCTGTTCATGGTCCTTCCAACAGAAGAGAGCTTTTTCATTCTCCTTCGTGTCAACATTGTCGTTTGATTTCCTTTGAATATCATACCGCGATGTAAAGTTTGAACGAGATGTTAACTTTATCAAAAGTATTCCGACTTAAGAACACGAAACTATACTTCTTGTATTCTCTGTTCTCCCACTAGAAAAACAGAGTAGTGAATTTTTTTTTTCCCATACCGTTGAGCATTTTTAATTTTTACTATACTTTTTCTTTCCTATTTATGTGATTTCTCAAAGATTATTCTTGGAACAATTCCAAACGTCTTACATAAAAACCCGCTTTATTTAGAAAGTAAAAATATTATGAACGAGACAAATCTACTCTACTTATAATTAACATTTTTTTTCTTCTTTTTATCTAATACATAGTTTCAAGGAAAACTTGGACACGTATGTTATATTCTCACAAGAACACGAAAGTCAGTTATTTCATTTAAAAAGGGCTCGCGAACCAACCAGATTTTAAAAGAAGTTTTCCTCGAGAACAATAGAAATTAAAGTAACCGAGTTCAGTCATTTTAACGTCGAGATTACAAGTTGAACTTCTGTAAACGTTTTTACGCTAATCTTGCAGATTTTAAGAATGAACAAAAAAATATTAGTAATGGTCCTTGTAGAGCAAAACGTAAATTTAAACGTAAATTTAAACGTAAGGCCGGTGAAATGTTGTTGAGATCTAGGTCGAAATTAAAAGATTAATTTACTTAAATCTTTTTATGATAATGATATTGCAGTTTTCCAAGATAATAAAAAAGAAAAAGAAAAAGAGAAAATTAAAGAGAAAAAGAAAATGAAGAAGGAAAGAAAAGGAAAATAAAAGGGAAAGAGAAAAAGAAAATAAACGAGAAACCAAAATGAAAAGAATAATTATTTTGCTTAACAATAAATGAAATGAAAAATAAACGAGTTGGAAAACATTGTCAATGAGGGATCAAATATGATCGTTGTCTTGTTTCAACGTGGAAAAGTGGGTTCTCATGACGTTGCTATCTTCCTTCGTGGCTGGTAATTGTACACAATCACGTGGAGAACATCGTAACGTCAGATACGGGCGTGCCCGTATTAACTTCTATCTTATAAGATTCCATGGTGATTACCTCGACTATGGGCTCGTATAAAATCCGAACTGTATACTGTTTTCAGTAATCTCCTACGATCTTAAAAGCCCACTCTATAGTGCCCGCTTTATATCCGACATGCTTTCGTGCATAGAATCTACTGACTTATCGCCTTTCTTACATGGATGTTTCGCTTGATGATTTTCCAACAAGATTTGGCGTTACGTACGATTGAGAGAACGAGCACGAAGCAAATTTTCAAATTTTCATTTATAAAATAAGGAAGAAAACAAATATTCCCTATCTCAAAAAGATTAAAAGTCTACTTCAAAAATTAAAAATGTATTATGCCGCATGATTTCTTCTTCTATCCTTATTTTTAATAATTCGTCCCTGTATATATAAATATGTTATAATATTATTAATTAAAACATATAGTTTAGATATGAAATTAAAAAAAAATCAAATACTTATAGAAAGTCAATTAGTTAGAAATTAAATCTGCTGTTGTTCAATGATATTTGGTAAAATAAATTACAATACATAATAGCATTACGCAAGTCTAACTTGATTCCTTTCGAATATTATTTTTGTAACATTGTAAATATCTTCGTGTGAGATGACATTTTGAAGATTTACTTGGAATATTATCTTGAAAATGTTTCCCAATTAAACGTGTACCATTAAGTTTTATTAGTTGACCTAGTTCTGCTTCACACTATATATATATATAGTATTTTCATAATAATTATTTATATATTTTTTTGTTCGTCTGGAAATATTTTGAACTTGTTGAAATTTACGAATACATTTTAATTTTTATTATAATTGCAGTTTAAATACATCAAATTTTAACTACTTGTTTCGCATGATGAATTTACTCATCATAAGATAAAATGTTGCCATTTCTTAATTACGAGTGTACTCTCATCAATTAGAACTAATTGATTAAAAAAAAAAAACATAAGTACATGTTAAGATTTTGATATAAACTATATCGTTAGTTTATACTTGTAACGGAATCTATTCAGATGATATGTTTCAAGAACATCTTACAAGAACGGTATACTTATTGTGGCAGCTGTCTAAAACAATTGTGTTAAGTTCAACGCAACAATGATGATATTTCGGCCACTTCTCATAGACAAAATAATTCACGTGAATAATTTGAAATGGCACAGTCAAAGGAAAATTTATATTTTATAAATACATATTTCATGTGCTCTTAATTAGACGAAATATTTGATGGTTGGACACACAATTACTCGACAAGTTGACGCGTATTATATTTATTATAATATATTATATAAAACACACACATGTATATTATATACGTTCGCTTAATTAAATTGTAACATCGGAAAAGAGTCATGTCTTGGTTGATGCCAAATGAAAAGGCAACGTACATTTTTCATTTTATTTCAGCATACCGTCGGTGTCGGCATTGGTGACAGCCTGCAGCATCACTCGTTGAAAAGGATGAATTGCAATAAGCTTTGTTGTCGCTCGGATCGTTTTTCCTTAATCTCATTTCTTCGTTTTCCTTTTTTTTTACGCTGAATATCGTTTGGTAAGATATTTGGTCCTAAGCACTAATAATAAATCGCATCTGTTTTCCATTATTCACATTTTTTCCTCCCCCACATTTGCTTTATTATTTAATAATTTTTTTATTTTT